TGCAAACAGACGTTCTAAATGTTATAAATAAAATGTGTGCAATGTTATAGATAAAATGTGTGCAATGTGAAGGCTGCACGGTGGTACTCCGTTACCTTTCTTTCATTTGGGTCAGTTTCCAAAGGTTTCTGTTTAATGGAGTTGATTGGTGGCAAATATTTTTGTCTAGAAGAATGTTAACTATGAAAGCCAAAGACAGATGAGTCTGGTGGGTGTGGGGATGTGCTGCCCACATCCTTTGAAGGAAGGACGGTTGTCCTGGCTTCTGAGACTGTTGTGAGGGGACACCCTTCGGCTGTCAGCCCCTGAAGGAATTGCTTCAGCTGCAGAGAGCCTCGTGGCCCACGGTCATAGTGTTCTGGAGGCAGCCCATCCGGTGGCTGATCAAGATGGAGGTGTAAAGGCTTGCAGCCCCTGGGGAAGCCTGAGGCCCCTCTGCTCCCTTTCACATGTTTTGATCCTGAAAGTCGTCTCTAATAAGCATCCTGGACACAATGTATCTGCTTCCCAGAAAACCCAACCTGTTCCTGTAATAACTGTGCTTGTGTTTGTTGACGGCATTTCCTTTCGTAGGGCAATGACTTTGGGGTTACAGAAATGATGAGAGAACTTTAGGACTAGTCTTCTTGTACTACAGGACCCTTACAGTTCCTATAGTTGTGAGTGTTGATATTTCAAAGCAGCGTTACTAACGAGAATTTCATCTTGGTTGTGAATTGTGCCTTTTCTCATTATAAGAAACCCCAGGAGGTCTCGTTGGATGCTTTTGGCCTTTCTTTCAGCTCTGAAATTAGCACCAGTTAGAGTGACTTGTCCAAGGTCACAGGGAGGCTGGGTCATTTCCACTTATGGAGGTTTTAAAATGTACTTAAAAGAGGAAGAGGAAGAAACAGCATAACAGGATAAAGAAATTGTAGAAGAAAAAAAATACAGATTATCAGGAGGAAAGGTATAATACACTATTTACAAAGCAATTAAAGGATTTTTAAAAATAGGAATTCATTGTGCCCTGTAGGTGGTGTGGTCTGGTAATAGGACACAGATTTAAAATTGTGTGATGACTGTGGTCTTTTAATCTTGTCAATCTATGTCTTTCCCTTATAATTTCTTTTGGAGAGAGCGTAACAGTCTGAAGACGCTCTACAGCCAGTTACAGAATTGAATATAGATCTGGATCTAAATTCAGTGGTCTCGCCACCATATTCATGTACCTGTTCTGCACTGTTTGTTTTTTTGTGTTCATAAAATAAAAGAATAAGTAAGCATGATGCTCCTGAACAGCCATTGTGCTAACTGACCCAGCTGTGAATGCTGCTGTGATGTGATAGTTGTTATCTCTGAACATCTTTAAAAAGTGATCCTGAGTTAAAGGTTAGCCTCTTCATTTCATAAATGCAGTCATTTTGCTTTGAAAGGCACATAGGATTTTTTTTTCTTTTTTTTTGAAATTTTATCATCTCCTGAGCAAAAAGAATTTGTGAAGTAGAACTCAAGGTCAGTGAACATTTTTTTTTGCATTGCATTTCTTGAAAAGCTGGTTGCAGCCCTGGCTGGTATGGATCAGTAGGTTGAGTGCTGGCCTACAATCCCAAAGGTCGCCGGTTTGATTCCTGGACAGGGCACATGCCTGGATCGCAGGCCAGGTCCCTGGCTGGAGGACTGTGAGAGGTAACTGATCCATGTTTCTCTAGCACATCAGTGTTTCTCTCCCTCTCTCTAAAAAATAAATACAATCTTTAAAATAAAAAGAAAAGCTGGTTGCAAATGCAAGGAGGGCCACAGGCTCCCTTGTTCTTCTGAGCTCCTGCACTGAAAGGTAGGGCTGGCTTTGTGGGCATGTGGACTGCACAGGCACCTGGGTTTAATGCTCTACTGTTATCATCTTGAAATCTTCTTTTTTTAATTTTCACCTGAGGACATACTCATTAATTTTAGAAGGGGAGGGAGGTAGGGAAAGAGAGAAACTTTCATGTGAGCAGCATTGATTGGTTGCCTCTCCTGAGCACCCCAACCAAACCTGTAACCTAGGCATGCGCCCTGACCAAGAATCAAACCTGCGACCCTTCGGTTAATGTGGCGATGCTCCAGCAGAATGAGCCACACTGGCCAAGGCTTGAAATTCTTAACTAGAAAGGAAACTTCAGTTACAGTTGACATTCAATATTGTATTAGTTTCAGGTGTACAGCATAGTGGTCAGACATTTATGTAACTTACAAAGTGATTCCTCATTAAGTCTAGAACCCACCTGGCGCCATACAGTTATTACAGTATTACTGACTATATTCCCTGCCTTATCGTACATCCCTGGCAATTGTTAATTTTTGAACAAGGAGCCCTGCTAATTCTGTAACTGCTCCCACTCAGGCTCTGTGACTCAGCATTTGTCATTTCTGTCCTTTTTGTCCTTTTGGCTTCAATTGGAGGGAAAGGTTCTGGACATAATACCCGTCTCTTGGGTTTGTGTAGTGACTGGACTGATGACCGTTCTGGATTTCTTTGTCGACTCTCTGTGGATGCCAACGTGTGCTTCATTTGGGTGTGCCACTCCCGCCCAGTTGGGGGCATGGCCATGCCCCCCTCCTATCAATGCCAGCTCCGAGCCACTGGACCCTGAGGACCGACCCTTCCTGCCTTGTGAGGGCTGGATGTCTGTACTCTGCACCGCACGCAGCCCAGTCCATGGTTTACATTGGGTTTGCTGCTTTCTGTGGTTTTTGCCAAGTACATAATGGTATGTCTCCACCACAACTGTGTCCTATATGTGTGACTGTCCTAAAAATACTCTGCTCCCCTATTCGTCTTTCTCCCTACTCTTTCTTTTTTACTTTCCCCACAGTTTTGCCTTTTTCCAGAATGTCATGGAGTTGGAATCATATAGTATAGGTCTTTCAGACTGGCTTCCTTCACTTATTTCCAGCCTCTTCCAGCTCCTAGAGGCCCCGCACCCCTGGCCCGTGGCCCCTTCCTCCGTCTTCACAGCCAGCAGCGCAGCCTCTCCCACCTCCCACTCTGACCCTCCCGCTTCCCTCTTATGAGGGCTCTTCAAGAACCCCGGGCCCACTGGGAAATCTAGGATTGTCCCCATCCCAGGGTCCTTGACTTAATCCCATTTGCGAAGCCCCCTTTACCACATTTTAGGCGACACAGCCACAGGTACTGGGGATTAGGATGTGGACGTCTTCGGGGGTCATTTTTCTGACAGCACAACCTGTGCACCGGCTCGCCTGTCCTAGAACATTATAGAAACGGAATCACACTGGCTCTCCCCTCATGGAAGGCGTATTTCGCTTGGTGTGAAGTTCTGTGAGTCACTCAGATCACCACACTTAGTATCAGTTTATTCCTTTACATGCCGGGTAGGATTCTGGGGTATGAATGGACCGCCGTTTGTTTATCCGTTCACCTGTTGCTGAATACCTGACATGTTTCACATTTTGACTATTATGGGAAGAGCTGCTCTGAATATTCCTTCCAAGGCTTGGTAGACATGTTTCGAGTTCTCTTGGGTAAACACTAGTGGAATTGTCAAGTCATTGAGGAGATGTGTGCTCAGTTTACAAGAAACGGCCAGAACTCTTCCCCCAAAGTGCTTGTAGCATTTCACACTCCCACCAATAAGCCCTGAGTCCAGGTTGCTCTGCATCCTCAGCAATGCCAATCTTTGAAATTTTAGCCTTTCAGGGGAATGTTGGGTAAGGTTGTTTTTCCCCTTTTTCTGATAAAATATACATAACATGAAAAGTAGCGTTTTAACCATTACGGGTACAATTCGTGGTGTTATGTACACTCAATGCCATACAACCGTCTCCACCATCCATCTCCAGGACTTAGTTTTTTATGTATTTTCTCCGTTACCATGTAACCCCCTTTTACTCCCCCCGCCCCCGCAACCCATTTCTAGGACCTTCTCAGCTTCCCAAACAGAAACTCCGTCCCTGTTAAACACTAATTCCCTACCCCCTTCTCCATCCCCTGGCTCCCCCCATCTCCTGTCTTTATGGATTTCACGCCTCCAGGGAATGCACATGAGTGGAGTCACACAGCATTTGTCCTTATTTTACTGAGCGTAATGTCCTCAAGTTTCATCCTCATTGTAGCACGTGTCAGAATTTCCCTTTTAAGGCTGAATAACATTCCAGTGTGTGGATGGACCACACTGTGTTGATCCACTCAGGCGCCCGTGGACATTTGGGTTGTGTCCACCTTTTGGCTGCTGTGAATCATGCTGTGAACATGGGTGTGCAAATACCTCTTCGAGTCCCTGCTTTCCATGCTTCTGTGAGTGCACTGAAAGCAGAAGTGGGACTGCTGGGTCACATGGTAATTTTGTTTTGGTTTTGAACTGCCTTCTAATATTATACTTTTTTGTTACACAAGGGAATATTTTTATATAGTTGAATTTATAAATGTTCTATACAGAGAAAATTCTTCTCTACTCAGAGGTCGGAATCACCCATTTGCAGGTTTATTACTAAAAATTCAGCACTGGCTGGTGTGGCTCAGTGGATTGAGTGCTGGCCTGAGAACCAAAGGGTCGCCGGTTTGATTCCCAGTCAGGGTACACGCCTGGGTGGCGGGCCAGGTCCTCAGTTGGGGGTGTGCAAGAGGCAACCACACATGGATGTTTCTCTCCTTCTCTTTCTCCCTTCCTTCCTCTCATTCTAAAAGTAAATAAATAAAATCTAAAAAAAAGAAAAAAAGGACCAATTAAAAAATTTAACTCTTCATGGTATGCTGTGATGTGTGCCACAACTCTCTGGACTTCCCCGGAGTCTCCCTGGTGGCTGGGGGTGGCCTCTGAGTGACTGGCGAGTAGGGGTAAGACTAGTAAGATCTTCCCAGGCTCCAAACTCTAAAGATCAAGGCCCCTCCCAAGGGGCCATGCCAAACACACACTCCCAATCTGTGGGGCATGACATAGGTCATGCCATGCAAGTAGCCTTCCCCTCTGAATTTTCTAACTATGAATCACAAAGCCCATCAAAGCTGAAGGCTACATGTGAGTGCGGCTGCCTGAAGCGGGCTTCATCCCTGCTGCCTCTTGCTGGGGGCCGGTGAGAGGAGCGGGGACAACGTGGGGCAGCCCCCACCGCCCAGTGGCGGCCAGGGAGAGAAGGGCCCGGAGCTGGAGACAAGGAGCAGTGAGCCTTTTTATTGTGGGTTAATTCACGTTGTATTGACAATTCCACACAATAGTAAAACACTGTGAGAAAGTGGGTGTGGCACACCTGGAATTTTTTTTTTAAAAATCAGAAAAACCACCAGACATCCAAAAGCAGGTGGGGTTGAACCTGCCAGAACCACAGATTGTTTCTGAAAACCAGGAACAAGTCGTTACAATGTTTGGCAATGGGTTCTGTGGACAGAGGAGGAAGAGAGCAGAGTGTCTGACATATGGCTTGTTTTCAGGGGACCCCGTGGCAGGCTGGCTTTTTGTAAGTGCTACTGAAGGGCAAGTGGCTTTTGGCGGCCTCACTTCGGCCGGAAATGCCCCTGGTCACTCACGCGTGGGGTGAGAGTCTGAGGAATCGGGGCCTTTTCCTGCTCTGGCAGAGCTGGGGCTCTTCACCTGATGGATGAGCTGCCTGGGGCCCGGAGTTGTCCTGGACCGGTGGCAGGGACATCAAAGCCAGAAAGACAGCACCTTCCTTCCAGCCCAGTGGGTTTACATTCCCTGGGGCTGGAGGTCACAACTGAGTCACTTCCTCCTTGGCCTGGGAGTCACCTTTGGGATGATGGGGCAGGGATGCATGTTCTAACTCTTTCCTGGAGTGGGGGCCAGGCCAGCCAGCCCACTACACACACTGAACCAGACTGCAGAAGGCAGGGAGCTTTGCACCTCCACGCCTGCCTTCTGTGCATGTGTCCCTAATTCTGCCGCCATGGCATGGTTAGAGGTGCTGGTTCCCTCAAGGCCTGTGCTGCCACCACCACCAGCTCCCTAATGCATGGGGCACTTCTACTCTCTAAAGCCGTGATAACCACATTTTCAGGGTGGACACTCATGCCAGGAATGCACAAGTAGCACACGTTGTTCTAAGTGCACTGATGCTTTAGGTCTACACTATGGACAGTGAGTTTTACTTTAAATGGAAAAAAGAAGGCTTCCCCCTGCCTCAGCTGGAAAGAAAACCACCGTGGGGGGGACTCCTGCTGATCGCCACCTCCTTGGAGTCTGAGGCTGTGGGCACCTAGTGTGGGCAGCTGAGCAGGTGTGACAATAAGGGGAGAAACCGACTGTCCTCACCCTTGCTGGGCCTCAGTTTACCCAGACCACTCAGTCCCTGGGTTTTCTGACTCAAGCCTCCCCAGGCCCAGGATGGAGCCTGTTACGGAGTTGGGAGTGGGACAGGGAACACGCTGGCAGGCTGTGCCCATAGCGCACCACGGAGCTGATGAACTTGGGTTCAATCCCATCTTCTTCAGCCAGGGGTCCTCGACCAGCTTCCTGCTGGCTTCTCCAGAGTGACTTGGGTGGGGGACACAAGGTGGGGCTGGGCTTGGAATGGCTGGCAGGGCAGGGGGCGGAGGCGGAGGCGAGGTCTGGGACCCTGGGGGGCTCCTGATACTGGGGTCAGGACCTCCTGCTTTGTTTGGGACCCAGTGGCTGGTCAGTGGGAGACACAGGAAAGATGGGCGTGCAAGGATCTGAGGCAGGCTCAAGGGATTAAGGCTTCTGTCACAGAGCCTTGCTCTGCCACCGGCTCCCTGCCCTCGGGGTTAATTCCCACAGGGCCCTAGAAGAGGGTTTGCTCCATCCTGCTGGGGACAGTGAGACAGGCTTGGGGTGGTGCGGGCTCCCTGCGCAATGAGAGGAGGCTGCAGCCTGGGAACCTTCATGGCTTTCCCCGACCAATGGCAGGTCTGGAAGTGCCGGGCTCCCTAAAGCCCCTGATGCTCCCAGACCGGCTGGGGAGAGCTGGGTGCTGGGGAGAAAGGTTCAGCCCCCCAGCCTGTACGCTGTGGGAGCTGGATGGAGGGTCATCTCCTGGGGCCCTCTGAGCGCTGGCAAGGTCTGAGCCTTGGCCCCGGCTGCGAGGTGAGGGCCTGGACTTGGCAGCTGTCCAGGGCCCTGCTGGCGTGGGCCTCGGACTCTGACGTCCGTTGGGGCCACAGGGGCAGAGCTGGGCTTGTTTCTTCCCACAGTTTGCCTCCTGCCCCATGACAGGGCAGGTGGTTACCCCTGAGGTCCGGGCCGTACGGGGTCCTGGCAGCCATGGTGGCACTGGCAGAGGGGAGGGAAGTATATTCGGCCCCATTCTCTTGTTCCTTTCACTGTCCATGTCACAACAAAGGAAAAAGTAATTTTTAAAAAGGCCTCCTGCCCCTAACCCCTGACTCCACAACATATCAAATTTCCAAGGCTGTTGGCAAGAGTGATGAACTGCGCTAATACGCCTTGCACTTCCTCCAGCCGGAGCTCTGGGTCTAAGGGGCACAAAAGTGGACAGGGAGCCTCTGAGGCCTTGCAGCTACTGCCAGGCCGTTTAACACCTTCTCACACCAGGCGTCGGTGGTCCTGCCCGCCAGGATGCAGCTCTATTTGAACAGTGGCCATTGCGACAAGTGAAAGTGGAGAAAAACCAAACCAAAACCAAACCCCCTGAAGAGACGAGTATGATAGAGCATGATTGCAGCCTCTAACTGCCACATCAATGTCATGTGCTCAAAACAAAATTAAACCCAGCTGGCCATTCCGGGGACCAGGGCAAGTTGCTGAAAATCTGTTTCCGCGATGGGTGGGATCCCAGGAAAGGGCAGGGTCACACATGGCCGTACAGTGACACATGCCTTACAGATGCCATATGGTAGGGTGACACTGGGTGACACAGGGTGCATCTCCTAGGCAAAGCCCCCTCCTGGCCCCTAAAATCCACCTGTGCATATTGCACAGTGCACCTTGGCCACACATCCAGCCATCGAAATCTGATTTTAGCAGTATTAGAGTAACAATTTTTTAAATGAAAAGATTTTCCCCAGCAGGTTCCGTATGATCCCCCCCACCCCCAAATTTTACTCTACTTAAAAAAACAAAACAAAACAAAACACTGTAGCAGAAATCTTTTTTACAAATGGCCAATTGCGGAGGATGGCCGGCCGGCCAGGTTCCCCAGGTCTCCTGGGGCCAGCAGCCAGAGCCCCCTCCCCTCCCCTTCTCCTGACCATCTCTGGACCACAGCTCAAATGGCAAGTGAGAGCTTAAAAAAACAGCGACCGCACCACTCGGGCATCTTGACTCTTCCTAACTGGAAGCTGCTGTGCCGCCAGCATCCCTCTTTCAGCCAGGCCCGGAGGGCTATGCTGCTCGGTCTGAAAACCCATCGTTACCCAGTAGGTACGTCTTACCCCACCTGGGCAGTGGCAATGTTTTACATTTCTTTTGGCATTAAAAGTTTCAGGGACCCAAAACGCTTTGCTTCAACTATGTACTGAACGATGCCCTGACAGAGAGAGAGAAAGAAGGGGGGAGGGAGAGAGAGAGAATAGGGGAACACCAAGCTATAGAATGACACAAGGCTTCTTGTCCTTGAAGGGGTTCTCAGAGGCGGGGACACCGACCAGCAGGGGGTCATTCCGGGCGTGCTGCTCACAGTAACTCATGAGTTCCGATGAGGCTTTGGAGACCTAAGTATCAAGGATGAGAGAGAAAAGGTAAGAAGAAGCTGATACATGCGTGTTCACAGCAGCATATTTGTAACAGCCATAAGGTGAATACTGTTCGATGCCCATCAGCTAATGACAGATAAACGCAACGTGTTCCTCTGCACTCTGGAATGTTCCTCAGCTACGAAAGGGAGCAAAGTGCTGACAACTGCTGCTACAGCATGGACGGACCTCAAACATGGGGTGCTCGGCGAGAGAAGCCAGACAGGAAAGGCCACACAGGATGTGATCCCACTTAGGTGAAATGTCCAGAGCAGGCAACTCCACAGGGACAGAGTGGACTGGTGGCTGCCAGGGGCTGGGGGCTGGTGGGGGGTAACTACTGATGGGAAGGTTTCTTTTCTGTGGTGATGAGATGACTTGAAATTCGACAGAGGTGGTGGTCGCAAACACTGAACATACTAAACATCACTGAGGGTAAGTTTCGTTTCGTGTATTTTACCACAATTTTCAAGTGATGAAAAAAAGGACTGAGCCTCCTTCAGCAGGCAATGCCCAGATTTTGAACAGAAAAGTCAGAAAGTGAGGCAGCCTCTCTAAGAGTCAGCCTAAGACTCCAACCAGGCAAAGGGAGGACCGCGCAGGGAGATCTCTGACTGGACGTCGGCATGATCGAGGGGCACAAGAGGAGCCTCTTTCCTCTCTGTGCAGTCTGAACCCACTGGGGTCCCGTGACCCAGCAAGGGCACCAACCCTTAGGACACCCTGCACAGAGTCCCCAGGAGAGCAGGGAGAGATGGGAGGAGAAGGAAAGCTGACACAGGGAAAACGTGGCATTTAGCATCTGGGGAGCCGAGGGTCACTACAAAGGGTGCCCCCTTGGCCATACACCCCATTCCTCCTGGTCATGACTTTGAGGGTATTACAGAGATTGTCCCACTCTACCTGCTCCAGAAGGGCTGGGGTGGGGGGCCTGGGTTACAGGTAAACTGGGCAGGGCAACTAGGACATGTCCGTGGGCCCCTGGATCCCATCCCAGGGCAGGAACTGTCTGTCCGCTGGACTCCCTTCCCTAGTCCCCTGCTGCCTTCTCACCTCCGGGGCCAGTGGGCAGTGAGCTGTGCAGGGGCTGCTGGGGGTACGATGAGGCGGGGGCGGGGGGAGACCACGCTTTGCAGTCTTGGCAGTTCCGTGACACTGCACACCAGGATGCCAAGGACACCCAATCCTGTCCTGTGCTGGGGACGCTCCTGCCCTCAGACAGCGACAATTGCCACTGTCGTGAGCACGCCAGCCACTTGTGGGATGGCTGCCTTTGATGAGCAGATGGAGCTTGGTTTCTAGAGTCCTATTTGGAAAGTACTCCTCCCAGATGACAAAAATAGTCACCGGGCCCTGAAATAGCCGATGTTGTGGCTCCGGCTTGTGCCCCCCACCCCGGCCCATCCCTGGCATTGACAGGAAGGCTCTGCCCACAGTGCCAGGGCCACCATACTGCCGCACATCCAGGTCGTGGGTGCCTCTCATCTGCCAGGCCATGGCCGGGTTAGCCTTCCAGGCAGGCCGATGGTCTGTGGTTCTGATCGCCACTTTGCGGGGGATGCAAAACCTCAGGCGGGACTGAAGGGAGAGTGGGTCACGTCCTGACTCCCCTCCATGGCCGGGGGCTGCTCCTGAACATCAAACGGGTGGGATGAATCACGGCTCCGCCAGGGCTGGGAGCTGGCACCGCTCACAAAGAAAAACCACTTCAACCGGGCCCTTCTCTTTCTTCAGCTTGAAGGAATGCTTTGAATGCTGCAGAGTTCTGGAACATTCAGCCACCTCCTGGGAGGCACTCCCCCCACCCCACAGCCCTCCCCCACCCTACCCGGCTGGTGGAGGCTCAGGGGCCCATCAAAACCATCTCCCACTCTTCCACGGCCTGGCCGTCAGATGCGAGTCTGTCTGTACCTGGCCCTTCCGAATGAATTCCTGTGACCAGCAGCGACTGGGAAGTGACAGGTGCTCAGGAAGGCGAGTCTGAACATATACACGGGCTGAGAGTTGATTTTGTGTTTCTGCTTGGCTAGACCACAGCACCCAGATATTTCATCTAATGCTACTCTAGATGTCTCTAGGAAGATACTTTTTAGATAGTATCAACAATTAAATTGGTTGGCTTAGGGTAGAGTAGATTAGCCTCTATAATGTGGGTGGGCTGCATCTAATCAATGGAAGGCCCTAAGAGAGTGTAGACTGAGGTCCCTGCAAAGAAGACAGAATTCTGCCTCCAGGCGGCCTTGGGACTCGAGCTGCAATGCTGCTTTTCCCGGGTCTTCAGCCTGCTGGCCCCCTGCAGACTTCAGACTTGCCAGCCCTGACAATGGCACGAGCCGATCCCTTAAAATACATCTCTCTCTCTTTCTGGCTACATGTGCACATCCCGTTGGTTCTGTTTCTCTGGAGAACGCTGACTAACCCAGTGGCAGCAGGAGAGGTACGTCTAGAAGCGAATCGCACCGGAGCCTGCTCGATGGAGACTGCCTGTCCCCGCCAGGCCGTCTGCAAGCCGTGGTCCGGGGCAGGAAACGGCCTCCTGCAGGCATCTCGCTGTCCTTTGAAAAGTGGACATGGGTTTGGTGAGAAGGTGCCTTTCCAAATGCCAGGCACCTTTCTCATATAAGCAGTTGTGACCAGCCATTGATCCATGTCCTTGGAAAGGAGGAAACGTGTGCCCTGGATGCTGCCCTGATGTCCCCTCATGGATTTAAAACTCATCTATGTGAACACAATGTGCCCACCCGCACCGGAACATCGCTCGGCCATGAAAAGGGGTGAAGCACTGACGCTCGCTGCGACGTGGGTGGGTCTTGAAACCAGGACACTCAGTGAGAGAAGCCAGACACAAAAGGCCCTACAGTGTGTGGTCCCATTTATGTGACATGTCCAGACCAGGCAAACCTAGAGACAGAAAATGGGTCAGACTTGTTAGGGGCTGGGGAGGGCAGTGGGGGTGACAGCTGAGGGAGACGGGGTATCTTTTTCGGGGTGATGGAATGTTCTGAACTAGGCCGAGGTGATGGCTGCACAACACCGTGAAAGAGCTCGATGCCACTGAATTCTGCACTTCAAACTAAATGGTTAACTTATTTTTTAAAAAATCTCTGCAGAGCTGATGGTGCAATGATGCATTATTTTATTTTGCTTTGCGTGTTCCTGGTCCCTGATGGGTTAAGTGTCTGTGAACAGAAACTGCTTGTCCCTTTTCTTTTTTTAGCATAAAAAGCAAACATGCTTATTTCAAAAAAAATTCACAGCACAGAGATGAAGCCAGTAGGCGGTGGGAAGCTCTGTCTCTACCTTTCCCTGGACCAGGTCTCTAGCTCCTATCCACATCTGTTGTAAGGAGGGGACTGTGGGGACAGCAGAGAGAGACAGTGCCTGCCTCACGCTGGTCCTTCCACCAGGGCCTGAGGTGGCTTTCACCGGGGCTTCCAGGGAACCGTCCCGAGGGCTGGGGTGAGGTGTTTATGTCACTACAGCACAGGCGATCACCACAACCCAAGAAGTAGCTTTACAGCAGCTGTGTCTTTCTGCTGAGGAAACTGAGGCTTAGAAAGGTTAAGTGAGTGGCCTGAGGGTGCACAGCGAGAGCTGCAGCTGCAGCGTCAGCCCGTCCTCCTGCCCCGAGAGCCGTGGGTGTCTTGCTTCCCTCTGCTGCCCTGCTCACCTTGATTCGCTGGATCCCGGCTTCGATGCGGAGCTGCTCCACCAGTTTCCGGGCCTGGGCAATGTTGTTAGTGGCTGACATTGTCTGCCATCAGCTCTGGGCCTCGTCGTCCAGAGAGCTGCGGGGAGAAGCAGATGGCATGAGCCGGCCCGGGAGGCCCCAGAAGCGCGTGCAGCCGAGGACGGGGAGGCAGGATGCCCCCACTCCTGGGAGCCTCTGGCCCATCGCCCACCACCCTGTAGGCCTGCTCTGCAGACTGGCCACGTTGTGTGTTCTCAGGTCAGAGGTGGGAGGCCTGGCTGAACCCTTCTCCCACAGTTCCCTCCTGTGACCGGTTGCTGGCTGTGGCCACTGAGGGTCCCCAGGAGAGTTCATGAAACCACAGCACTGGCTCCTGGGTGGCTCCAGATGAAGGACTTGGCAGGGAGAAAGCAGCAGTTTCCTCTGACCGCGGCAGCCCCCGCTCCAGGGTCTCCGCAAGTGGCGCTGGGCCACTCTCTGGGGTGGGGCCGTCCCGGGCACTGCAGAGTGTTCGGCAGCACCCTGGCACCCCTTCTTGATGCCAGGAGCAGCCCCAGTCGTGATGACTGCATTTGTCACCAGACATGGCTCAGTGTCCCCTGAGGGGCAGATCCTCCCTGGTTGAGACTTCCTGGCCCTGTCTGAGACAGATCACCTGGAGACACCACGCACTGTGGATCCTGGCTCCATCACCCACTCTCTGGAGGGCTGGGGCTATTTCATTCCTTCGTTTATTCACTTGTTTGTTCAGCAAACTTTCACAGAGAATGCCTTGCCACATGCCACGCACAGCTCTGAGAGCTGAGCTAATGACGGTCACATGGACAGGGGTGCCCGGTTCAGACTTCCACCCCTTCCCCCGCCCCGCCCCACGCCTGAAGCCCAGCTGCCTCTTGGAACCAGCTGGCAAATGACCTGGGCTTTCACACCCAGCTGCCCGGGTCAGGGCAGGAGCGAGAAGTGTTGGCTTTCTCTTGCTGTGCAGTGGCTTTGGGGTGAGTTGGTGGGACAGTCACAGGGGAGGGACTTATGCTGGAAATCCTAGGACGGTGGTTGCTAGAGACTGTAAGGCAGTGACTTGCTCCCTCTGAGGGCTTCAGGGGAGAGTCCTTCCTGTCTCTCTCAGCTCCTGGGAGTCCCTTGGTATCCCTTGGCTTGTGGCTGCATCACCCCAGTTTCTGTCTCTATTGTCACATGGCCTATGTGTTTGTGTCCATATTTTCATCTTTTTTTTTTTTAAAGATTTTATTAGTTTATTTTTAGAGAGAAGGCAAAGGAGGGAGATAGAGGGAGAGAAACATCAACGTGAGAGAGAGACAGCTCTCAGCTGCCTCTCACATGCCCCCAAATGGACACCTGGCCTGAAATCCAGGCATGTGCCCTGACTGGGAATCGAACTGGTAAACTCTTGGTTTGCAGGCTGGCACTCAATCCATTCAGCCACACCAGCCAGGGCCATATTTTCATCTTCTTATAAGGACACCAGTTACTGGGTTCAGTGTGACTTCATCTTAACTAGCCACAGTACATCTGCAATGACTCTATTTCCAGAGAAGGTCCACTCTGAGGTCCCGAGTGGACACAGATGTTGGGGGAACATGTGCGTGGATGGTGTGCTTGGCGTAACCCACTTCATGATTCCAGATAAACCCTCCCGTGCGCCCAGTGGATCTTCAGCTAATGCAGACCCAGTACATGAGATTGCATACAGTTTTTCTGCACCAAATCCCTGTGGACCTCTCACCCCAGCACTCTTAGGAATCAGGGGTCACATGTCACAGTTTAGGGGATCAGAGTGCCCCTCCATCAGCTCTCTCACCCAAGAGAAGGCTCACCCTTTATCAGGCCAACAAGTCCTACTTTGCTCTTATTTGAGATGGTTTTTATGTTCCTTCCAAAATATTTTTAGTAATTTAAATTAAAATGTAAAATTTGACATGCCTGTTGATTCACAGCAGCTGTAGGAAATGATAGAGGCTGCGTGCGCACTTTGCCCAGTTTCCCCCAAGGGCAACATTTGGCAAAACTGTAGTGAGACCATAGCCGGGGTGGTGGCTCTGATGCAGGACAGACAAAGGGCATATTAACCCCCAGTGTCCCTCCTATGGCCCTTAGAGAGCCACACCCAGGTCCCCTCAACCCACCTCCACTCCTGGCAACCACTGATAGGTTCTCCTCTACCCATTTGTCATTTGGAAAAGGTTATGTAAATGCAAGAATAGGGTATGTAACTTTCCCCCACTTGGTGCCATTATCTGGGGCACTGGGGGTGCTCCTGGCATGAGGGGGTGGGGGCAAGGGATGCTGCTCAACACCCCCCAGAGCCCAGGATGCCAGACGGGTGCGGGGAGCAGGACCCACATCGAGTCCTGGGAAGCCCCTGCCCCCCTGGGTGGACATCTAACCAGGGAACGAAGTAGCGCTCTGTGTTCCTGTCACCACACACTGCATCACTGTCTGCTTGGTAGTCACAGGGCCAGGTGGCTACAGAAAATTAAAGGCAGATTTTCAGAAAATTTCTTATTTGGCAATCAAAAGGAATGGACTGTTGACAATCACGCCTTGGATGATGCTCCAGGAAGATCTCCTGAGTGAAAAAAAGCCCCAAAGGTTATATGCTGTACGGTGTCATTTATGGGCTATTTTTGAGATGACAAGATTGTGAGGATGAAGGAATGACGGGCAGTTGCTGGGGGCTGGGGCTGGTGGGGGCCTGGGGGAAAAGAGCGACACAAAGGTCCTGTGGTGCTGGGGATGGGGCATATCTTGACTGGCGGAGGATCCAGGTGCCTGACCAGGTGGTAAACGCACACAAAGCTTAGTACACACACATCAACTGCAGAAATCTCAATAAGGCTCCTGGGCTGCATCGGTGCATCCTGGCTGTGATACTGACAAGGGACTTGGACAAAATACTACCACCGGGGAAAACGGAGTGAATGATACAAGGAATTTCACTCTGTGATTTATTACAACTGCATGTGAATCTATAGTGACATCTGTCAACATTTTAATTAAAAGAAATCCTTCCATGCGGCCCGTTCCCGGAGTCCAGCAGACACTCAGCCCCCTTTGGGTCAGAAGAGGCCCAAGTGTGTCTGCCCTGGACGCACAGGGCCCACGTGTGGGCTTCCAGAGCTCTGATTCAGCAGACGGCTTCAAAGTAGCCACAGAACATCCAACTCAGGGAAAACTGCCCTGGTTTGGCTCAAAAATACCTAAATTACTCAGCGCTAAATATAGACGTGTACAGAGAACAAACGGGGCGGCCCCCGGAGTGTTTTCTTTGGAAGGCTGGGAGTCCTGCTCAACGTCCAGTGTGTCTACCAAGGCCCCCGGCCACCTTGTGCAGCCACCCCAGCTGTGGTCCCCTCGAGCACGTGGCCAGCGAGAGGCTCCCTTTGCGCTGGTGATGACTGAGCCCCAGAGATGTGTGTGTGCATGCATGCGTATAGGTCTGTTTGCTCCTGCGTACATGTTGTGTGTGCATGTAAGTTTGCATGTGTGTGAGTGTATTATGCACATCTGTGTATGTATGTGTCAGCGTATGTGTCCATGTGATGGATTTGTGTGAGCATGTGTATGTGTCTCTATGTGTACGAATGTGTGAGAGTGCCAACATGCCAAGATCCTGACACTGGTTGCATCACTACAGCCCATGTGGCAGACTCAAGTCCTTGTCCTGGCTGTTGTCACAGCCAGTCACTGACTCATGCGCCAGCCATGCCCTCCAGGATGAGACCAAGGCCAGCAGAACAGGCGGCATGCTGAGTCAGCTTGGGGAACACTCCTCGCCAGCTGTCTCTCCTCAGGAGGCACATGATGGGGCAGACACCTGACCTGGCTCAGCAGGGCCTGCAAAGGCCCCAGAAGCCCGCAGGGCCTGGGAAGCTGGGGGCGGGTGGGGCGGGGGGGATGAGCAGGCTGCTGGAGGAGGGAAGGACGAGGTGGCCAGAGCCGCTGGCAGAGGTCATGTTCTTAACTCTGCAGAGAGGCTGCTTCAGGCCTGGTGAGCATAAGGACAAGACTTGGGGTGAGGTTAGCCTAAAAATAGAGACTTGACAGACACTGCCAGGCCCTGGGCTGGCCTCCCGGCGGAGGGCTGGGAAGTCACACCAGGTTGAATCGGGCTCCTGCAAGGACGATGAAGCTGCCTTACTCCCAAATTCCCATTAGCATGGTGAAGCTATGGTAACAGGGAGGCTAGTCGCCCCCAAAATATTATAGACGTGAGCTGAGACACGAGGCTCCAGTGCACCGAAGGACCAAACAAAATCATGGAGGGAGTCGGCCTTTCTTCAGCAAGAGCCGCGGGAAGGGCAAAACGGGGAAACACCTGGTTTAGCAGTTTCTTCCCCGGGCACTGCTGACGTTGAAGGGGGTCACCCTATGTGCGGCCATCCTGGGCACTGAGAGGGGAGGCAACACCTGGAGCCCCACCCCTCCATGCCAGGAGCTCCCTCCGTTGTGACAAACACAGACGTCCCCAGACACCCCCAGTGTTCAGTGGGGGCAAAATTTAATGCCTTTATGGAGCTCCTTTATCAGAAGAACACCTGCAGCCAAAAAGAGGCTTCGTTAGGCAAATTTTTTGGAACTGAAATGGTTCGGTTTGAATTGAAATAGTTCTGAGTGAGTATAGAAGCTTGTTTTAAAAAGGGGTTTCATTTTCTTAGCATCCAAACCCTCTGTGACGAGATGTCACACAGGGCCAGACCTTCCCTTTGGCTCAACCAACAACACATTTGAAGGGGACAAGAGCAGAGCAGTGGAAGGTGCAGCCGCCCAAGAATGCAGCAGATCTGAATCTGCCCCAATCCCAAAGCTGTGTGGCTTCAGGGAAGTTGCCTCCCCTCTCTGAACTCTGCTGGAATGCTCAGAGCGACGCTCCCTCTCTGCTGGCAAACCAGGTCCCGCCAGCAGCCACGGAGAGGTGACCTCTTTCAGAGACCTGTGGCAACTGCCAAATATAAATACAGCTGCTGCAGAGATAGAACAAAAGTCCAGGGGACCCGGACGCTGTGCCCAGTGAATGGGGAAGCCACTGGGAATCGCGCTCCCAAGGAGCTTACTGCGCCAATGCGACCACTCTCCTCA